TAGTACATAATTTGTGATAATTTCTGTTTTAAGATACAAATATTCTTATACTCAAATGGCAATCCCCAAATGTCGGTCCTCAAATGTCGATTCCTCAAGTTCGATCCTCAAATGTCGGTCCCCAAATGTCGGTCCGCAATCCTCAAATGTCCATCCTCAAATGTCGGTCCGCAAAAGTCCATCCCCAAGTGTCGCACCACGATCTAAATACTTAATTTAGGGGCAAATACACGGCTTTAAAATCAAAAACAAGCGTTTTAATTGCTATCAACTCCTTCCTAGAAGTTGTTCATCAAACAGGGCATTTCGTTTTCCTTTATGTCACAGCTACGGGAATAAATTTTATCAAGGCCTCTTTGGCATTTAAAATAGAAGCATTTTCAGTCATTAATTCAAATTGTGTTAGCTTCATGCTTCTGACTTTGAGCATTGACAGAGTTCTTGCTGTTGCTTTTCCGTTATTGTAAGAAATAATAATTTAGATCATGATATAAAAACTCCGATGGTCTTTTGTTTGTCTATGAAATTGAAAAAATTTCAAAGCTTATGGTAATGCCCAGACGCGGTGTTCCTCGGGCGGTGCCCTGAGCTTTCAAAAGCTCAACAAAAATGCCAGCTTTGTTACGGAAATTAGCTTGAATATTGTACATATAGATAATATTCATTCCAATACTAATATTCATTCCAAAGAGAAATCTTGTCCCCCTCTTCCTCGTCGAACTTCTGAATAAACCACGGGCATCCTTACTGTCACTAGAGTTAATTAGCAACTTAATCTAATTTCAGTTATATACATCTAAACTTTCGTATGTACATTTATCTACACATCTTGGCCATTATTTTATTTTTTATCTTTGATATATCCACTTTAATAATATCAGTTACTGAATATCCAGATCAGGGCTGATCGAAATAAAAATATTTTTTATTTCGAATCGAAACGAAATAAAAAAATTCCTATTTCGTTTCGGAGCGAAACGAAACGAAATGAGCTTGTTTCGGACGAAACGAAACGAAATAAACGAAATAAAATAAAAATTAAAAAATTTTTATTTTTCAGTTCATAAAGGCTTTTAATCGATATTTAAATCATAAAAATGCACCCCAAGAGCTAGATGCGTGACAAAAGCAACCCAGAAAAACGAGTGACTCCTATAAATCTGCCGATATCCCCATTAATCCCCTCAAATCGACATATATCCGCCTTAATCCTCCGATATCCTATTAAAATCCCACGATATATCCAAATTACTTTGGAGTATACCACTTTAGATATCGATCAAGACGGATATTAAGAGGGATAAATGAGATATCTTCTAAATCCCTTGCGATATCTTGTATATCCCCCTCCCAAAACCACCTATATTCACTTAATCCATAAAATACAAATATACACAAAATCCACCTATATCCCCTTAATCTTGCCCATACCACAATATCACCTTAATCTTGCCAAATCTCAGCTCAATATCACTAATCCCTCGAGATCTCTTTTAATCCACCGCACAAAGTAATAAAAATTTTAGTATAACTCCAATTTGGAGTACAACTCCAGCATATTCAAATCTAGGTTTCAAAAATTTTTATTATTTTTAGATCACAGAAATGAAGATTTCTGAATGGTAGGTTGGGCGACGGAAGGCTGGTCTGCTCTAGCAAACCCCGTAAAAGCTTCCTTCCTTTTTAGCGCCGCAGGCGAAAATTTTTTGAATTTTGGAGCTCAAGAAGCAAAATTTCTTCCATTTTCAGCGCCGCAGGCGAAAATTTTTTAATTTTAGGCTGCTCATAAGACAGAAATCACTAAAAAATTAATGATTATTTCAATAAATTCCCGTCATTAGGGGTGCATTTTCTCACTATTTTTTTGTTTCGTTTCGTCCGGAATTTTGTCTATTTCGTTTCGAAACGAAACGAAATAAATTTTTTTCTGTTTCGTTCCGAAACGAAACGAAATGGAAAAAAGGGCACGAAAGAGCGAAACGAAACGAAACGAAATTTCGATCAGCCCTGATCCAGATTGGCCAGTGACAGGATACATTGGAGATTTACTCATTAGTGTGCCATCCCCTGTCAATACCGCAATTTTTTGCTTATAATTCTAATAGGCTCAATCTTGGCTCATATAATCGTAGGATTATTAGCTAAATATAAAGGAGGCAAGTAAATATATTTTTAATCCGAAGGGAAAATTAAAAAGTGCCGGATATTTAGTTGAATAATACATACGGTCCGTAAACTTCTTCAAGAACGGTGTCCTTGAAACTATTTTTTAAAAGCACTTAATTAGGGCGAAATGAGTTCATAATCTGGTTATTAAAAATAGAGTATCAAACCGAGGGGTCGTGGAGTATCGTGAAACACTCTTCTTGTGAGAGCATACTGTAGTCAGGCCAGGGTTTTTGCCAAAAAATCGTCTGCGCCAAGGTTTTGAGGAACGGGTCTGGATTTTGCCTGACTCGGGATTGAGTCGGTGATCGGTATCTGTCGATGTACAGCCTTCGGGTAAGCTTTCTAGGTAATAAAAAGACGAAGCAGATTTAGAGTCGAAACAGATTGGATAATTTAATTGTACTATTATATATGAATGACAAATAATTTTTGATTTTAAATTTTACTTCAGATTTGGCAGACGAAAAAATTCGCAAATTATTTCGTTCCCTTCATTAATTATTATGATCAACATTGGTGGATATGTACTTTTTATGGTTGGTATTATTGTCGCTGTAAGAGTTATGTCCAAGACATCTCCATATTTTTGGCATGCAAATATTTATCTTTCGATAATTGAAAATATAACTGCTGCTATAAACGCTCCTATTCTTATATAAATAGGTATAATTATTAAATCAAAGTTATAGTTGTTATCATATCCTCAGTCATTAGTATCATTAAAATCATTAAACCTAAGCCAACTTCTATGTTTTAATAGCTCAATCATCGTCATCGTCATTCTCTGTAAACTCAGTGCTGGTGTATTCTGATATCCGGATCAGAAAGTCGGGATAAATGGAAAATCTGGTTTCGAAACCGTGGGGTAAAGGATTTCCCATGTATAAAGATTTCCCATACACTCTTAACTACACCTCAAATCTTCTCTTCCCAGAACCGGAGGGTATAAGGAATATAACTTTCCTTCTCAGGTCCAAAATATGTTTCATTTAAGAATTATACTTTTCCTCGGATATTTATCTAAATTAAATACAAAATTATAGTTCTGACTACAAATCGGCATACAAAAAGGAATATGGCATAATTAAAACAAACTTGATCAAATTAAAATCTTATCTCTTCAATCTAACCCATCAAACTACGACTGTTGTCCAGCAGTATTAATATCAAGAACATGTCAAATTTGATTGAATTTTTTGTAGAAAGATTAAGACAGAATTTCTTTTAAATTTTTCAAATTAACTCTCGATAGATTGTTATAAATGATATTTTTATATTTTTATTACTGTTAGACCTCAGCTTGTGATATACCTAATAAAGAGTCTCAAGATAGTTTTCAAATTTGATTAGCTCAGCTAGTATGTCTGTGATCGATCTAAGCGACATTTCTAAATAAATAACTTCGATTTAAAGTTTGAATCGTATAGTAAATCGAATTAATTTTATAAATTTGCAATACTCTATATAGTAATTCAAAACAAAACAAATTTAAAAATTGTCCTGTTTTATATGTTAATTTGAATTTTGATAAATCTTTTTATAATCCTAGTCAACTCAATTGCTATCACATAAACTTTTTTCTTATCTTGTTTAATAAACCAATATAATTTAAAAAGATTAACCGCTACGTGCACTTAGCTAGAAGCGGATATGATTAATGAAACATTTATACATACATATAACAAACATGTTTACTTTAAAATATACACCTGCCAATTTTTTTAATATTTAATTATAAGCTTAAAGTCTGACATTTTAAATGTCACTTTAAAAAAATTTTTTTGATAATTATTAGAATATTTATAAAAAAAAGTTAAAGCCTAAGTCAATTAGATTGTATCTTAAATTTAAATATTATACGCTAACATGAGTGACAACTTTTCCGTCGGTCCGAACAACTCCTTTCCAGTAAGCCATTTTGAGCTTTAAATTATTTTTTATAAATTTTTAGCCTATTTATATTGCGTATAGTAGTCCAGGCTTTCATCTCCCTCTATTCCTACCGGCATTTTTACATGGATTGGTCTCAACAATTGGAATAATTTTAAACTTAAGTGTGTGTTATATTACTTGGAAATTTTGGTATTTGTGAGATTTGATCTTATACAAATCCTAGAACTCTGCAATACATTAAAATAATTAATTTAGGGGAAAATATACAGCGTTAAAATCCAAAACCTCTGTTTTAATTGCTATCAACTCCTTCTTAGAAGTTATCCATCAAGCAGGGCATTTCGTCTTCCTTTATGTAGCAGCTACCGGAATAAATTTTATCAAGGCTTCTTTGGCATTTAAACTCGAATCAGTTTCACTCATCATTGGAAATTGTATCAGCTTTATGCTTTTCACCTTGAGTATAGACAGACTCCTTGCTGTTGCGTTTCCCTTATTGTAAGTGATAATTAAAATACTTTTTAATTATTCTAAAGTTGGTACTAAACCTGGAGACAGAACCTTGTTGAAAGGATGTTTAATATTTTAGATTCTTGATATTAAACCGAGGAATTCTCTGTCCCTTCCATAGCTTTATAAGTATATCCAATGGAATGTCCCACTTTTAAGCATGGCAACTGAGCAAGTTTAATATTGATACCGTATTTCTGAAATAGTACGGCCGGCCGTACTATTTTTCAACCCTTTTCCAAAGGGCCGTACTAATTGAGAGGGCCGTACTATTTTTCAACCCTTTTCCAAAGGGCCGAAGTAATAGAGGGTGCCGTTCTAATAAAGGGGGCCGTAATATTTCAGGAAATACGGTAATTATCTAATAAATCTTCAGCTAGCTTCGACTCATATTCAAGTTTTTCAGTTATCTCAAACTCAACTTTCGTATGTACATTTATTTGCACATCTTGTCTATCATTCTATTTTTTATCTTTGATATATCCAATTTAATAATATCAATTATTGAATATCCTAATTGGCCAGTGACAGGATACATTGGCGATTTACTCATTAGCGTGCCATCACCTTTTAATACCTCTATTGTTTTGCTCATACCTCTAATGGGTTCAGCTTTGGCTCATATAATTGTGGGATTATTAGCTAAATATAAAGGAGGCAAGTGAATATATTATTTTCAACTCATGAGTATGATAAGTATTTAATTATGTGAGAGATTAAAAAAAATCTGGTTATTAAAAATAGTGTGTAACTCGATCATTCGGAGTTGGGAGTGTCCTGGATCGGGGTTATTCGGAGTAGAACCTTCGAGGTTCGTGTAGGGGGTTTTCCCAAAATTTTGTTGGTTGTAAGCTATCGGTGATTGCTTACCAGCTATCACGATCAAGAGTAAAATGAACGTAGATCTAGCCAGTCAGTGATTAACATAATAAAACTGCGCTCTTTGTTCTATATGTTTTGTCAAAATTTTAACTTTTATAAATTTTTTGATTTTAACCTCAACCTCAGATTTGGCAGACGAAAAAATTCGCAAACTATTTCGCTCACTTTCATTAATTATTATTGCCAACATTGGTGGATATATGATTTTTATGATTGGCATTAATGTTTCTGGAAGAGTTTTATTGCCGTCATCTCCTTACTTTTGGACTGCTAGTGTTTATCTTTCAATAATTAAAAACGTATCTGCCGCTATAAATGCTCCGATTCTATATATAAATAGGTATAATTATCTTTGATCTTAGCCCCAAAAGTAAATATTGATACACAGTCAACACCCTAGTTGTATCAGACCGTTACCTCATTAGCATTTATCTTAATACTAGGCTTGCAAATCCCCGGATACGAATCTCCGGAAAAATTTGGGGTAATTCTTCGGTTGTCGCCCCCCTTTTTTATGTTCTATTTTTTTACATTTTCCATAAAATTTCTATGAACATTTATATACATTCGAAAGAGCACTTCGAGCTGAGTCGAAAGGCATTAGAAACGTCGAAATCGGAATTAAATCAACATAGTTATGAGCAATTGTTTTAATCCCTTTCAACATCACAAAAAAAATGTCCACAAAGGATTTAGCTTTCATAATTTTGTTCAAAATTGCCAAATCTAACCGATCATAGTACCAATCAATTCAGCTCGGATAGCTCTCGAATGATATATAAATTATTATATGTCAAAGCAAAAAAGCTCAAAATGGTCAGGGAAGCATAAAAAGGGGGGCGACAACCGAAGAATTACCAAATTTGGTTCGAACTCCATGATCGGCCAACACGACTCACCTTTTATCTACTAGCTCCTCACCTTTCATCTACTAGCTCCCTATACCTCAGAGTAAAATTCATTTTACCTTCCTTCCCTCATATCAGTTTATTTCCGTGATTCAAAACTCTAAATTTTTTAAAAAGAGATTTTTTATCAGACATATACCTAATATAAATTCATTAAAAATTATAGTTCCGACTATAGAGCGGCTTACAAAAAGCAATTTGCGACAATTAAATCAAGCTTAATAAAATTAAAACTTTATCTCTTCAATCCAACTAATCAAAGTACAACTATGGTCCAAAAGTATTAATATGAGAAACTTGGAAGTTATTAAAAGAATGATATTGCATCTAATTATAGAAAATTTATGTGTAAAATTTAAAATTTATGTGTTTTACATTACGAATTTTCATATTTTATTATAAATGTATTTTTAAATTCTGATTATATGTATGTAAGGAGCTCACTATTAGATATAACTTTTTAAGAAGCCTAATTAGAACAATAAGGAATCTTGATTTATTGTAATAAGGAAGCTTAAATTAAGATTCCCAAAAAGGAATCTTAATTTACGATAATCTTAAATTTGATTAGCTTAGCTAGTATGTCTGGGATCGATCTCATCAACATCTCTAAATTAGAGTAAGTTCGAGGATTCGGAGCGATCTAAAATTAAATTTGTATGTATATTTTATAGTGGGACAATTTTTTATAAATTCGTGATACAATTATGCATAAAGTAAACATGTTTACTTAAAAATATACACCTGCCAATTTTTTTAATATTTAATTATAAGCTTAAAGTTTGACATTTTAAATGTCAAATTAAATAATTTTTAAATAATTTTTATTTACGTGAAAAAAGTAAAAGTTGTGCCAATTTAATTTTATAATAAACGTAAATGTCCTCCGAAAACGTGAATGATTATTTTTCCGTTGGATCGAATCACTCCTTTCCAGTAAGCCATTTTGAGCTTTAAATTATTTTTTATAAAATTTTTAGCCTATTTATATTGCGTATAGTAGTCCAGGCTTCCATTTTCCTCTATTTTTTCCTGCATTTGTTCTTGGAATTGTCTCAACAATTGGAATAATTTTGAATTCAAGTGTATGTTATATTACTTGGAAATATTGGTATTCTTAGATTTGTTCTTATACAAATCCTAGAACACTGCAATATAGTAAAAAATTAATTTAGGGGAAAATATACAACATTCAAAGCCAAAACTTCTGTTTTAATTGCTATCAACTCTTTCCTAGAGGTTGTTCATCAATGTGGGCATTTTGTTTTCCTATTTGTCACAGCTACCGGAATAAATTTTATTCAGGCCTCTTTGGCCTTTAAAATAGAAGCATTTCCCGTCATTATTGCAAATTGTATTAGCTTTATGCTTATGAATTTAAGCATTGATAGAGTCCTTGCTGTTGCTTTTCCTCTATTGTAAGTAATAATAATTTAGAATAGTATATACTAGGGTAGCAACACGATCTCCGAAACTACGACCCCGACCTCGACAGATTGTTTGGCAAAAACCCCGACCCGAACCCCGACGGCTCTAGCAACCCCCGATCTCCGACACACCCGCCCCCGAAAGGCCGGGTTGCTACCCTAGTATATACTCATTAAGGTAACCCTGACTTCATATCTTCTATATCCAACCGTATTCCCTTGGGTAGGTTACATACGTTTGTAAGTTGGATGAATATTGTAAAGACCCATTCTTAATGACGAAACTACGGTCATAAGAAATACCCGTCTCTTCTAGGCGCCTTGAAGGTCTTACGTCCTCAAGACCGAAGTTAGGGTTATCAACTCAAATAATTCAAAAATTTCAGTTATATCCATCTCAACTTTCGATTGTACGTTTACTTTCACATCTTGTCAATCTTCCTATTTTTTATCTTCGATATAGCCATTGTAATACCATCGATCATTGAATATCCAAATTGGCCAGTGACAGGATACACTGGAGATATAACTATTAGTGTGCCATCCCCTTTTAATTTTGCATTTGTTCTGTTTACAATTTTGGCAATTTCATCATTGGCTCATATACTTGTGGGAATATTAGCAAAATATAAAGGAGGCAAGTTTTAGATTCAAAATATACTCTTGCGTCTCCGGTGGGACCATCTCTTGGCCATAATGTTGTACACAGAAATGTGCTTATTTGATATGCCAGTTGGAGATAGGTTAAGAGAAAGTACCATTAACTAAGAATGGCATTTAAATTTTTATTTTGAATTTAACTTCAGATTTGGCAGACGAAAAAATTCGTAAACTATTTCGCTCACTTTCATTAATTATTATTGCCAACATTGGTGGATATATAATTTTTATGGTTGGCATTATCTTTGCTATGACACTCATACCTGGGCTATCCCCAAATTTGTGGTTTATAAGTACTTATCTTTCAATAATTCTGAACATATCTTCAGCCATAAATGCTCCGATTCTTTATATTAACAGGTGAATAATTCATTTTTTTTGGCTTATATGGATCTAAAAGTGAGTAATGTTAGCCCATAACTAGTGTGATAGAAGTTGAATTTAAATCTAACTAGCATTCGATTTTGGTGTCTACTTCATTCAAGTATCTCGACAAGGGACATTCAGCTTTTTGGCCTTATCTTGAAATCTCATTTAATAAATTACAACATTATCATTTATACACACTTAAGATTTGTATAAACTTATACACATCTCATAAAATTGAGACTGTATAAATTTGGACATCACTCGTGCGTAGATGAGAGAAAATTTCAATCGAGGGGTGAAAATTATGTGGGGTACCTTAAACATGACTCACTGCCTTATATGGTTAGGTTTCCCTCTCTATTCACACAGAAAATTACAAAATGATGTGCTAATTGTCTAATAATTTATCAATTACAAATTAATTTCTTTATAAAATTATAGTTCTGACTACAAAGCGGCATACAAAAAGGAATTTTGTGCAATTAAAACAATTTTAATCAAAATCAAAAAATACCTATGCTTCAAAAATACACAAAATAGCACTACTCCTGTACAGACTTTTTAAAATCAAGAAAATTAGCTTTGGTTGGAAATGTCCAATTCCATCACTAGTTGGACATGTCCAATTCCAACTTCATCTCTAGTTGAAATTGGACATAATCCATCTCTACTAGCACTTTATTTTTTATTTATTTTAGCAATCTCATGCTAATTTGTTTCAAAAAAATCTCAAACAAAACGAAAGAGTTGCCACTTTAATATTATTTCATTATCGTGTGAAAGTTTTCATAATTTTTACGTAAAAGTTTAACTTTTTTGTGTCCAATTTTGTATTTTTGGGAATAATATTTAAATTTTATTTATACATTAGTGTAATTATTTGAAATTATTTTGTGTTGCGTGTTTATTTAAAATTAAACATGAGTTAAGTTTTCATTACATATACAGGGTGCGGCAAATTGGGCGTACGCTTTGTTTTTGCCATAACTTTCTTCAAAGTGAATGAAAATTGATAATTCTTTTTTTATTTTATTCAAAACACTCTAAGCAATTTTTTGGTACCAAAATATTCTCTAAATTTTGGAAATTAATTTGATTGTTTTTTCTTAAAGTTCTGAAAAAATTTTTGGACCAGAAGTCGTTTAATTTAAAGGCTATGTGTTTGATATGTGAGAAGTTTATGTCATTCGAATAAGCTCTTCAAGCTGATTCGAATGACGTCAAAACAAAGCGATTATCTTGTTCTTGAGTTGAGATATGGTTCTTTGAATGGTAGATTAGAAACTTGATGTTAAATTTTAATTTTTTAGGTGAAATTTTCAAAATTCCATTTATAGACTATTTCGATGCTCCTCGTCGAGACGAGTCGATTGGTATCAAAATTAGTAAGATTGGAAGACATTGAGCGAAGTTATGGCA